TTTTTTTTTTTTTTTTTTTTTTTTTTTTTTTTTTAATACGATAATGTACAAGAAAAAAAGTAATTAATATTAATAAAAAAGACTGATATATCTATATTATAACTGTCGAATATCCTTCGCAAAGAATATTCCTACTAATATTATATTTAGTGACCAGTGTATTGATTAATGTCCCCTAGTGTCCATGGAGGATAGACTGAGGGTGTCTCGAGGAGGTTATGTGCTTTTGTTGGGCTTTGATTTCTACACTTCTTTCTACAATTATTTTAGAATGGTACGTTTCCTGCACAAATATCAAACCTATGAATAATTTTATGATTAAACATTTTATAGCCAAACTTGAAGCATCGAAAAAGTCTTCTCCTGTTACCTCTTCACCCACTTCATTCGCTTTTCCTTCCTCGTCGTACACGTTTCATCACACTTGCGGGGCCAACGTCGCAGTGACACGCGGGGACAAGAAAGCCAAGAGAATCAAGTAAGGGGAAATCTTTGAAACTAGTTACTTCAATTTGTTGTAAAACTATGTTCTGGATTGCCTTCTGTATAACAGAAGAAAGAATGTCGGTTGAGTTCGATCGTCCGGGTGAACGTAGTCCTCAATAGGACTGTTGTTGTTGACGGTGACTGACGTTTCGACAACCTTTGCGGTAGTCATCCTCACAGTCAAAGTGTGTTGTATCACGTCAGTTGATGGTATTATACACTGGTTATTGATCTGATTTTTCAATTACGTCGCGATTTTATTGGTCGTCTGTCAGTTAAGCCGTGATGTTATTGGCTATGAAGACTCGTAATTAGTAATTGGTGCGTTTCGATTCGTCTACGATAAAGACGACTACCGCACAGGTTATCGAAACGTCAGTCACTGTCAACAACAACAGCCCTATTCAGGACTACGTTCACCCGGACGATCAAACTCAACCTACTTTTGAAATGACTCCTGGGTTCAAACCTTTCACAGAAGAAAGAATCTCACTTTTTTTTCCTCTGTGGTGATACAGGCTATCATCATCAGATCAATAACCAGAGTATAAAACGGTAATTTCGGCGCAGCTAAGCTGCGCTGCGACGACGATGTGAAAAGTGAAGCGTCACATATTGGATACTAAATAGGTTCTGTGCCACACTTCGCTGCAGTGTGAAAAGGTAGTCCGACCGTTGCGGAAGTAAATATTAAATAGGAGCGAGGAGTGAAATCCACTGAGAGAAAGTTAACGTTCTGGAGTGAGGATTGGGATTGAGTTTACCAAACCCTTTCGACCAACCGCTCCGGCACAGTGTTAAGTGATCATTTTACGTTTCTGAGAAACTGTCCACCTACCCTTCCCCTAAGCCAACGTTTTTCGCGAAACTAAGAAGTAAGTGTTAATGTTGGCTTAGGAAAGGGGTAGGTGGGCAGTTTCCCAGAAACGTATAATCTTCACAAACGGATCCCAAGACTTGTTCAAGTTCTGCGCCGTTGCTGTTCATGCTATACCGGATAGGTTTCCTTATTCATGGTGTACACATAGCCTTACGAGTTTCAACTGCATCTGACAGTTTTACTTTGCTCTTATACAGCACTCTTCAGTGTTCCGATGAAAGCATTGTTTTAACAAGCCAGCCTCTACAAGATGATGAACTATTCGAAGTTCGATTGGACGGTATAGCTGGCAGGTTGTCAGGCAGTTTGGTTTTTGGTGCCACGACTGTCAATGCGGTGAATTTCCAGTTTCCTAGATTAATAACGTCCTGCTCAACAGGAACAACGTTTCTACTTAGCTCCAACAAGATGCTAATAAACGACAAGGAAATGGCTACAATACCAAAGGACCTGACCAGTTTGTCGGATTGTATCACTCGCCTCGTTTTGGTAATTGACTACCGTGGACTACCTCTCGTATGCCCCATTTCCCATTCATAAACCCAGGGTTTATAAGCGGCAGTTTACGGCAGGGCATTCTTAGCTTGGTATCCACATGACTAATTTCGTGTGTAATAGACAACCCTCAGCGCTGTATATAACCTATTTCAAAGGTGTTTGTCACTTGAACCTTGCTTTAATTAGTTTAATGGTCTTATTACTCGCACGTGTCATCCGTTGCTCGGTAGTGGTTGGTGATGAGAGAAATAGGATTAAAAAGAATTAAAAAAAAGCAACAACAACAACAACAACCATAGATTGGAGGCGTGCATATTGTGCCTTCACTTATAGAAAAAGGATACTCTTTCGTCAATGTGTCCTTCTTCCTTTTTTGTTTAGGAGACTTTTTTTTCTCCTTCCCCCCCCCCCCACTATACACAAGAAAAAAACAAAGACAAAAACAAAGAAAAACACGAAAAAAGACAAATATAAAAAAAAAAAAACACACAAAAAATAAAACATAAAAACA